TTTTATTTTCCTTTATTTTTCTTTTTCTTTCCCCATCCTTTCACCCTGTTTGGACACGAAAGTCTCTCCCGGACTCGCCCCTCCTCCCGCCCGGCTCCGCGGAGCGCGGGGGCTGCAGGTAGGACAGGACCGGGGGGGGGGGCCGCCCCGGATCCGCTTCTCCCCTCAGGGGCTTGGGGGGGCTGGGGGCGCCCCCCCCATTATAGACGCTATTGGCGGCTTTGAACCCTGCTCGCTGCCAGGGGAGGGTCCCCGGGGGTTTGGGGGGGGTCACCCCTTGCTTGTCTCATCAAGACCCCCCCCATCGCTGCAGCCCTCCCTTGCCTGGGCTCCGAGCGCTGCAAAGCGAGTGTGCAAATACGTGCAAATATGTGAGCAGGGAACGGCCCCGCGCATCGACCGGGCGGAGGAACCCCCCCCCCATGTGCCCCCCCCCAGACCCGCACGTAAAGCTCTGCCGCCCCCGCGCGCGCCCCGAGACGGGACGGGACACGCGAGCCCCGTTTCAAAGCGCGCAGTCAGGGCCCGATTTAGCAAGGCGGCCGTAAATCCCGTTCAGGCAGCAGCAGGGAGGCTGCCCGGCCTCCCTGCCTCCCCTTCCGAAGCAGAACTGAGCCCTGTCCCCCCGCCACCCCCCTGCCGGATAACCCCGAGGGGGCTGCGAGGCAAAGAGGGGGGGTCCGTGGGATTTATTTTAATCCATCCTGATGCTGATCAGGAAAATTGTCCGTGGAGGAGGGGGGAAGGTAATTTGGATTCTCTCCACCACCTCATCCATCCAAAAGTGGCAGCTCCCGCAATCTGCAAGGAAAAACTTGTTCCCCCCTAAGCTATGCCTGGGAGCAGGGGGGGGGTCCGGGCTGGGGGGGTCCGGATAAGGAGATCCCCAGCAAACAGCTTGGGAGCAGGGTGAAGAATTCCTGATTAATGAGCAGAACAGCTTGGGATTTCGTTTTTCCCCATAAATCCTGGCTGATTACAAACCCCACGCTCAGCCTGCCTGCTGCTTTTGAAGGTGGCGGGGGGGCACAGAATGAGCCACCGGAGCCGGTACCGGAGCCGGTGCCGGAGCTGGTGCCGGCTGGGGCAGGGGGAGCGGGACCCTCCCCATGGGGACAAGTTGTTCCCCCCTCTCCAAAGCTTTCCGCCAGCTTTGCAGAGCGAGAGGCTTCCTGAGCAGCGGGAGCGTGTGCGTGTGAAAAGAAAAGTGGGATTTTTCCCTCGCCCGCCGCCCGCCAGCTGTGCAGGGCGGCACTGATGGATGCACCGAGACACCCTCCATGCGCTCGCTGCCCCCAGGACCCCCCCACCAGCACCGGGACTGTCCGCAGCACCCCGCACCACGGCAGCATCCCCTCAATAATAAAAAGCTTCCTGGGACCTGGGAATGTGTTATTTTCCTGAGATGCATGTACACTGCTCCCC